TTTGAGCTGCTTAACTTGGGATACATTTCGTGCCATTAAAGCATAAGTGACAAACTAAACCAATCGAAATTGAATTAAGGCAAGCAATTTGTTATAAAAATTATTCTACCAGATAAAATGAAGAAAAAAGGGGAATAAAACCAACATCTTTCAATTTTTTTCAAGTCTTCTACAATTTTTTTACTTAAAAGCTTTTTGTTTGACTTTAAAAGGTAATCAAAACATTCAAAGCTTCGCCCTGATATGAGAAATTTTGCTTAACTTGTCACTTACGCTTGAATAGGACGATATATATCACAAAAATATATTCCATATACACAAGTGTATGTCAAATTGGCAATTTTCAAGCCATAGTAACTTAACTAAAAATGATAGCAGGCGATAAATCTTTCCATTTTTGAGCTCGAACATCAAGAGTTTTCAGTTTACATAACAATACTGTCAAAAATGGCTATATAAAAGTCGAAATTTGTCTGGAGAAGAAAAAGAACACCCCGAGCACATTAGTCCGTCACATTCTTTGAGAACCGGAATAAAAAGAAAAACGAAAATGGTTCCTATCTGATAAAAGTGTAGCTTCTTTTGGTTGATCATGTTTTCAGCAAATGTTTTTGACGCCCGATTAATAAGAAACAATTAAAATTTTATTTATTCGTTCTCCTTTCGGAAACATCTTTCCATAAATTATCATTCAGGAATCATTTTACAACGCTACTTTGACTGAAAAACAGAAGCATATGGTCGTAAAAATAGAACCCCACATCATTAAAGGAGTACTTCGATCATTAAAGCATGGAAAAGTGGGCTATATAATTTTAAAATAAAACAGACTCTTTTTAACGGGAACTTAAATAGCCCAAATAGCGTAACAGAAAAAAAATAGCGAGTGAGGGAAAAAATCCAATCAAAAATCAAGTTGTCCACAAGCTAATTTTTTAAGTGTGTGTGCCTGTCGAATTCCGATACACTTGAACGCTTGGCTGAAAATGAATTCTTTCAAAACTCTCATTAGTAAATTAATTTTTGCCCTTAAATCTTCACTCGAGCGCCTTTTTGATTTTGATTAGAGCAAATTTCGAAATAATTTCTGACCTCTGCGTAATTCGATGTTTTGTTGTCAACCCTTAAACGTGCAAAGTGGTCGCCCATGAAACAGTGATGCGGAACACTTTTAGCTAAATTAAATTTAGAGCAGGAATGGTTTCGCTAATACCCATTGAGTCAAAACGTGTCGCGGGCTAAATATCAAGGCTTATGGTGGAATTTCAGCTAATGTCTTTATATATATACGAGGATTTAGATAACGTGCTAAATATTTAACAGCCAGAGTAGATCTTAAAAAGGTAAAACAAAAATTCTCCCGGCTGTAATAAAAAACGTCCGTTGGATCTTGGCGGGTTGTCGGACCTATATCGGATCCAAATTATGAGTTAGATGCAGATTAAATTTAAGTTTTGTCAATATTTATTATAACCAGGCTATATTTAATCCAGACATGTCTACAAAACGGGACGGGATAGCCGCTAAATATTGACTATTGACCCTTTCCTTGTTTAGATTACTTCACACTCAAACGCACAAACGAAATAATCGAAAGGATTCACAACCACTTTACAAATTGCGAACAAGAAAAAACTAATCATAGATCCCAAAATATTTGCTGACATGTCAAAGAACCGAAAAAACGAAGGAAGAAAATTATTGAAAAAATATATATAAACCTTTACTAGGGCGAGTTAGTCAGTTTTAGAGATTTTCTCTCAAGAAAATAGAATCATTAAAACTTTTTTTCCTCGAAAAATTAAGATATGTTATGTTGCCAGGCTAAAATTTGTTTTGTATAAGTTGTTCAGTTATGATTGTACTCTAAAAAGTGCCAACTAAACTGAGAATTGAAAGCATGTTGTCAGAATTGAATTCTGTTCATTTCCTTTCCTCTCCTAGCCTTAATGGATCCTTTCAGATCTAATCTAAGAATACTACCTGTTAATTCCTGCTGGGCCTTTTAGCTGGGACATTATTGGAGGGATTATTGGGCAGTTAATTTAATAGCGGGTCGGCCGATTAGCAGGAATCCGATTAAAACAAACAGACCGTCCGTGTCAGAACTTGGAAAGTCTTTGTGAACAACCACTTTATGAGGCCATATACAGAGCGAATTTAGAGAACCCAAACTGATTCTAAATCAAGGGGTTTTTGATCTACTTAAATATTAAAGCAAAAACAACACAAAACTCCTCGTTTCAAAGTGACCTCAAACAAAATCCCGTAATGATCTCATAATGCTTTCTGCTTCTCATTTGAGTTCGACTTTTCAATTCAGTTAGGTTTCATTCCGTTTTGCATTGATTTTTTGTCAATCTCTATCATCCGGATAACGCAATTCTTATTTTAGTGAATCTTGAAAAAAATACTGCCGAAGAAGCAGCAAAGAAAAATTTCAAACCCATTTAGGAGCATTTTAGACTTCAAACTGAAACCAGGTGCTGCAAAAACTCTTCAATAAAAAAAGAAGATAAAAAATAGCCGCTTCTACAAAAGCAGAGAAACTCTGCAAAGCAGTAGCACAAAACTTATAAACAGGAAGCATTATTGTTAGTCTGAATATTGTCAAAAGAAGTTGAAAAACTCCGTTAATAAATGATGAAAAGCTCTTGTTAGAATCAAAATTAGTTTTGTTTTTTTGCAACATAGACCCGCTAATGTGGAGCCGATATTATGCTTGGCCCGTCTTTTTGTTCCAAGTTCGAAAAGAAACAAAACAAACAGCAACATCAAACAATTACAAAAATTATATTTTTAAATTGCCTGTCGGGCGTTTTGAAAAAAAAAATAAAACAAAAAATAGACAAAAAAATACATGATTTAATGGCCAATTTTAATTTAGACGAAAATCCCTGAAAAAAATTACTTCATTATTGAAAAAAAAACATCCTTAAGCTATTCGGAGAGGACAGGTCAGTTCTAAAGCTGGTTCATTCATGATTTGCAATAAAAGAATAGATTTCTATTGAAACTTGAAAAAAGGAAGACATTGAATTTCTTTTCAAACAGGGCAGAAAAAATTATAACAAAGATAATTCATTAGAAAAAAATTTAAATAGGGTTTTGTAATCGACAAATACTAAGCCAGCGGGTTCAATAAAACAAAAATGGGTTTCAATAAAACATTCATTTAAACTTTAAATTTGTGTTTTTTAATAACCACTAGTGATTCAGACAACTCAACTGATCTGTGAACAAAATATAAGCAATTTTCTACTTTTTCAACCGTTTTAATACATTGACTAATAATTGAATAACGTAAGCAAGCATTAAAAATGTATGGAATTACCAGCAAAAAAAATTATTTGGCGATGTAATTTTGGCAATTTACGTGTTTCAAGCACCTAAATTCGGAATGAGAGGTTTCAAATGAAAATCGCATGTAAAATCATGGCACATGGGAAATTTTTAGACGGTAGTACATGGATAATTAACTAACTTAACCTTTTGCTTTTGCTTATTTTGCAGTCAAGTGTCTTTACGACTGAGAATTTAGGGCACTTCGTTTTTATATCAGCTGCCTCTTAGTTTATGAAGACATTTATGGAGAAAGTACGCCAAGTTATGAAGGTTCTCATCTCGTAGCGAAAATTGAAAACGCAGGCAATATTTACAGAAACTGTCATAAATTCCGTTTGTAGGAACTTTTTGGAACGTTATGACCAGAAAATGACGTTTTTCCGGTAAGCCCTTCCTTTTTGAGCGTAGTAAATAATGGTACCGTTCCCTATCCATAATTTAATTATCTCGTTTTTGGTGCGAATTAAGACATTGCAATTTCTCCCGCCACTGATCAAAACAGATTTTGTGAGTGAACCATTCATTTTACAAAATTGTAGACGAAAACCAAATGTGAGCTGCCCACCTCAAAAAACGTTGTCGACTTTTTTTTATAGGTCGACCAATTATGTTTTCCGAGCTCTCCGAAAAATACTATCAGGGGCCCTATTTTGTCAAAAATTTTCTTCTCTGCAGACAAATTTTTGAAAAAAAAACAGGCTAAAAATGACATTTTGAGTATTTTAAAAAAAAAAACCAAAATATTGCATAATTTCGGCGCGCGCTTCACCATCAAGTTTAGTTTGACGTCCCCTCCCCCGGCACGCTTCTGCAACCAAAAATAATTGTCATGGCTTAACTAGTTCGCATGCCAATTTTCGTAATTAGTAAAAATTTGCAGGTGAGGGGGAATGGAGTCCAGATGTGTTTGGAAAATTACAAGCACCAAATTAGCTCTTTTCCACTCCCCCCATTTGAAATTCAATTTTAAAAACTATTATAGCATTGAATGCATTGAAATTTGGCATGGTGAACAAATTAGCTATTGTGAACAGATTTGTTCTTCATACCTTACATCGTAACATCACGCATTAAGTCATAATAACACGTAAAACAACTATGAAATTAGAAATTTTGACATGTGGGGGTAAAAAGGAAAAAAGCCCCAAATTTTCTAAAGGATCATTTAGCGCCAGAGTAAAATGTTTTAAGGTATCATGCCAGAATATTGTAATTTTGATTTTCTGATCACAACTATCCAAAAACTACTTAAATTTGGTACATTAGGCCTATATCCGCCCACTTTCAAGACTTCGATGCTCGTCCAAAAAAATTTAGGTTAACGTATTAAAAACGTCCCATGGTGTAATGATTGGCACCTTGGACTTTGTATCCAAAGATCCGAGGTCAAAACCAAAGATCTGAGCTCAAATCTCGGTGGGGCCTCATTTCTTTTGCATCAGCTTAAGAGAAGAAAAATTAGCAGAAAGTTTTTTCAGTTCAAGGCTCCTCTTTTTGAGTGCTCCATTGCCCCTATTCGTAATAAAAATGGGTTGAATTGATAGGAAGTTAGACCTCTTCCCATTCAATTTTTCGATATATGGCTGTTCATAATAAATTGAACCTTAACTGAGATATCTTTATTCGTTTAAATTCACATAACTCGTTTCACTAACCAGTTGAGTTATTCGATGAAATGGTCGAGTGAGCATTGGGAAGTGCTTCTCCATTGGGACACCTCACAGGCAAAGGAGGTTTGTGCTTGCTTTTCACCCCAGCATGGCCCCGGCCTTTGTTCGTCAATGAAGCCTTATGATGGTATTCGCCCTGATCACTAGATTCACTTATGCCGCTCCCAACTTTGCCACATTGGTAGTTACTCAAGTTCAAAATGTTGTCCATACTTGAGAAGTCTTTTTCCATTTTGTATATCTCGTCAGTATTCATAACCCCATTTAGACTCATTTGACCTTGACCTCTGTTCACCTCTAGTGACCCCTTGTGACCTGCGAGTTGGCCGACGTCATGATGTCCCAAACTCATGTTGTACTTGTGCTGGTTCAGAGCCTCGTAGATATCGTTATCCATGCCCATTGCATGCCTAGCTGAATGGGGTAGAATTGCATTGGCGGGGTGGTAGAGCATTTCTGCTGACGGCGTGGGGGGACTGCCGCCGCCCCAAAAGGGGGATCCCCCGCAGCCGGCGCCACCGACAGGCATGTAGGTTCCCCCGTTGTCATTAAGTGTGAGGGGGTGCGCCTGATACTGTCCGTTCGCGACAATATATTCGGACCCTTGATCTGAAAAAAAAAGATTTCCCGTGTTAGAAGCTTTTTCATAAAACTTCAATAAATCATTGTTCAAAACAAGAAAAAATAAGTTAATAGCTTTCGAATCTTTAGTTTTTTTTTTCTGAAAATTGTTTGTGAGCATCAACAAGAGGTTAAAACTTGAACTCAAATTTATAAAACAGAAATAGCATTTTAAACAAGATAATGTTTGATATCTTTCAAGTACAAATACACCTCTAAATAATTATCTAATAGTAGCCCTGAGGCATGATGGTCGTTGTGCCTTATCATTTAAAACCCGATCACACTAATTAATCGAATCTATTCCTTCGATATGTTACTATGCTTCTTAGATCTAAATCTACGTCGCCTTAGGTAGCTAACTTAGATATGAAATATTTGACCATAGTTTATGAGATGAGCTAATCGACAGTAATCGAGCCATTCAACTGCGCATTTAAAGCCAAAAAAGATAGCATCTTTTTTTTGTTCAACTTGGACGTTCTCTTTATTCTCTCCTCCTTTCTTTCCCCTCCTATTTTTTATCCCTTATCTTTAGCTGGATTCCATTTGCGCTTGGACTGGATTGCATTGGACCCAACCCCACCCGGGGCCAAAATTAGGGAGAGACAGATCTGAAAGCCAGATGGCAAAACAATGGAAAGAGGATGCGATAATACTATAATCACATTAGAGCACCTTTTAGCATCCAACATCTAGAAACGGAAGCCGAAAAACAGACTAAGTTAACTGCTATACGGAGAATAAATGTACGAAAACATCGGCCTCTTAAAAATAAATTGTGAAAAACCACTGAAATTTTTTTAGCAACAAAACCGAGTTCAAATTGTGCACTGTAATTTTGGACTTAAGCTTATTTTATTAGGTGTTTTTAGGCTGTGGTAATAAAAAGTATTATCAGGCCCCTTTTCTGCTTTTAGAGATGTCTGCTTATAGTGCACGAGTCTTGCTCTCCTCAACTTCAGCTCAGTTTAGAGTGCAATCAATGCAATGCATATCAATCTATCTGTCTAGGCTATCAACCACTGAAAGCCGACTCAAAATAGCCTCCTGATTGAAAAGTGACAGACAATTCTGGCTTTCAACCCCGGCACAAAAAAAATCCTTTCAAAACCAGTCAGTCAAAACGAAATCACTTCTTTTCCGTTATATTATAACCCGCAACCCGGATCTTGGTCTGTTTTAAAATCGGCTAAAAACAGGCCAAATTAGTCATCTAGCATGATAAAAAATTAAGAAGTTATCTACATCCATATCTTTAAAATCACCTAGTTTACTGAATTTGAGTGGGGTGCGCGCGCTGAAACTGCAATTCTTGAGCAAAATGTTGAAACGGCATTTGATAACCCGCGAAAATTTTACATATTTTGCCAGCAATGCATCAAGTTTTTTTTGAGTTATTAGTATTCTTTGAAACTGATTCAGTTGAATTCAAAACCTAGTTTAAAAAATAAAAAATATGCCCTGTTTACTGAAATAATAATTTTTGAAAAGCTACGAGCAATTAAGGAGCATATTAGAGACACTTCGTTAAGTTAAGATATCAACTTGGTTGTTGGCCTTTTAATTTCAGAAATGAACATGTGCGGCATCAGACTCAGTGAAGATTCGAGCACACTGGAGGCATTAAAGTTGAAATTGAGCACCGTCTAAAGCCACAGATGCAAATGACACACTCTTCTGACTTGTTCACCCAAGTGCTAAGACAAAGGGTCATTAACTTGCCCGAACCTCAACTCTTTTATGACGTTAAATTTCTTCAATTGGAATTTAAAATCTCTTTTTAAATTTAATACGAATTGTAGACCTTTTGGTAAAAGGAGTAAAAAGTAAATAGAGCTGTGTTATTTTGACTTTTATTACATGCTGAGACTTCGACATTTTCCCAACTGTCCCGGTGGGGGCTAATATGTTTTCCCGCCCTTATTACCTCAACCAAATTGGGCGGCAACAAAAAAGTTGGTTTTCTCAACAGCTGTGGCAGGGACAATGGACTAATTCCCTTTGATATGTTAATGTTAAATATAATTTTTTATCAAACAAAATGAAAACATGGCTTGGAACTTTCTAATTTAGAGAAAGCAATCAGAAAGAAAAAAGTGAGGCGAGTAGTTCTCGTATCATAAATTAGTAATTTTTTACCCATTTTATCTCATACATTCAGGGAAGAAATTATTTTAGTCAAGCTTTTCCCAAGTCAGACAATCCAAAAATTACTGAGTAAGTTTTTTTCACGCGTCTTTAATACGGCTCGTAAGAAATTGAGTGTGGTGCCAAAATCAAGCCCCTTCCGTCTGATTCGGATTCCACGATAAAACTTCATGACAGTTGTCTCAGTAAAGAAAAATTGGTGTGAATATTTCCGTTTTGGAGAAAACTGGTTAAATATAATGTAATTATTTATACTGTTTTAGATTAATCGTTAATTTTATAATCATGCGTCCATTTATTACCAGTTATACACATGTTCATTAAAAAGTTTTTCAAAAAAATCAATGGTTTTTTTAAAAATCAATTTTTAAAAAATTATATTTTGAATGATTACTGCTGTAGAAAAAATCTATGCCACTTGCAGTGCGCGACTAATTTATTTCATCGCATTTTTCAGTTTTTAAAGACGAGCTCATAAAAATGATAGAAACTTGAGATAGCTCCCAACGTTAAGCTCCTTTTTAGTTTTTTTTTAACTCTTAAAGATGAAAGCAAAAGGTGAAAAGAACAAAACATCAGAGCATGGAAAGAGTGGACGTGAAGGAAAATCAGTGGGTTCTAATTGGGGCTATAAAGGACTGAGGAGAGACTATTTCTGTCGTGTTGTTGTTTAGGAAGAGGGAAAGTGAAACAGTGCTACAAACAATTGGGCGACTGAAATATACACTCCAAGAGACAACAGTTATTGTAAACTAAACAATTAGAACACGCTTCAAAACAAAATTGAGATAATTGAACTACAAAACAAAACTAATTGCAAAACTAGCCCGAAACATTTTATACTGGTGGGAACAACAAAACTTATTTAAAAAATCAGAAAAAGCGCAGAGAAATGAAACACCTGTGAATCAATCGTGACTCATGATTCTTTGTTGCTGAACCATTTTGTTGACGGAAAACGTTATTAGATTGAATTACTTTTCACTTTTAGGGTAAAAAAACGTTGATATGCTAACTCAATTGACTCGGTCTGACTTTTCGAAATTGTACTGAAAACCCAATTGTATGTAAAAAACACGCCGGAAAACAAAGTTCCCTTTCACCCATTCTGTTTTTTGTGTTGCTTTAACTTTTGAAAAAAAAGAAGGTAAAAGCGCCGTTTTCGGAAATTTTTTGAAAAAATCGCATTTGTTGGAGCGTGCTTTCCCCTCCAAATCACTATATACTGGCGCCAAGTGCGCTTTAAGAAAAATTTTAGGGTCAATTGGCCAAAAATGGATGTCGTAAAATAGTACCAAAGAAGGACTCTTTGGATGCCGAGTGGTCGAATCCTTGAGGAGGGGACATCCGCCCTTGCTGCCATTAGTAAAAATTGTCCTAGAAGAAACTTCTCGTGTCTGCATTTATCAAAGCAACGTTACACGAGATGCTTCAATTATTTTTCTTTTGTAGTTCATTCTCTTGTGTGCATTATTTACGAAGTGATTGAGATCATTAATACATCCAAAAAAAAACATAAGATTTTAGTTCTTAAAATGTAGTATAGTTCAACGTTTTTTGCATAGTATGCTAACGGGACAGTGTACTACAGAGAAAGATTCTGTTGTTCTTTTGTAGTTTCTTCCCAATTAACTATTTCAATTGTACTTACATGCGGAGGCTTGATGCATGGGGTAGTGTGAGTTCAGGTTCAGGTGGTGTGTAGAGTGGGCAGCGTGGGGGAGGGGGTGCGGGTAGAGAGCCTCGAACTGCCTCCTCTTGTATTTGACGAAACAGCAGCCGACCACCAGGCACAGCAGGAGCACGATGACAAACAGAACAAACACACAGGACCAAAGGATCACTTTGGCAAACACGAACCCACCTATAAACAACGCATTGAAACTTGCATGACCTGTACAGGGTTCGATGTTCAGAGTCATATACCAACAACATTTTGTGTAGAACATTTGGTATGATAGTTCGGTCCCAAAAAGTAAGATGGGTCCCTGAAGAAAAATTTTTAGGCCTTAAAATTTTCGAAAACATGGTTCGCATTTGTTTACACAAATTTTTCACAAAAAAATCGGATTTTCACAAAAAATGCGGGAGCCATCTTTCATACTTGCTTTTACTTGGGACCCAACTATCATTCTAGTACCAAACATTTTTGCAGAAAACAAACTTTCTGTGAAATCACATGCTTCTTAATGATTTTCAAAGGTGTTCGGGTCGGGTGATAAATTGGATCCTGCAATAACAGATAGTGGAAAATTGGATCCTGCAATACTTGCATTTGGAAAATTGACAAAGCTTACGGAGACATATCAGCTGCGACAGTTTGAACCTAAGATGGCGTAGTAAACAAAACTCGTCTTTATACTAAAACAGCAACAAAACAAGCGATGCTATCATAACAAAAGAGGACGTTATAACAAAACACAATGCCTCAGAGCAATTAGGGTCAAATTGTCGCACCTGGATAAGCTATGTCTGGGTAAGTCTCACTGGAATCCCTCATGCCTGAATGCCAAATGCCGTAAAAAAAATAAGCCAAAAAAAATCAATTTAGTTTTGGTCAGTTTAAAGGGCGATGATTGGTTGAGAATTTTCGTGTATTCGGTGAATAGCCCATAGTCTCACCGCTGCTTTAAATTGAAGACAGAAACGAAATTGGACTCACCAATGACTACTGGTTCGCATTTCTCCGACCAATGAGTGTGCAAATAAAACATGCTTCCATCTTCTGCAGCAGAAGAAGACGATGGAGAGATGAATGGGTTCGAGAACTGTTCCACAATGCCCACTCGCACACAGTAATCTGTGGACATGGGACTATACTCGACATACCTGAAAGAGAATAAACAGAAATTCGTACCAACGGCTCACTATCACAACAAAAAGAATAAATATAAACAAAAGCAACTCGTATCTGACCACAGAACATGGATTGTCAAACCAATTATAATTGCGAAACAATTGAAAACAAAAAAAAACGAAACAATACATACATATTAATACAAAAAAAAAACGATTAAATTATCAAAAACTTTCAGAAAATTTTTTGATAACTATTAACAAAGTTAGTGCGGTGGACTAACTTGGCCTGTTGCTGGTCCCAGTAGCTGCCATAGATGGGCTTGATATGGTCTGCATTGAAGGAGTACTGGTTTGCCACCACTTCTGCATCCAACACCACCAACAACCCTCCAACACGGCCACTCTTTCTGGAGGCCAACTGCCTGGGCAACACCTGCAAAAAACGAACGGGTCTCATCACATGTTTTAATATTGTTAAGAAAAGCTGCCAAGGCTTCCTTTTAAGTGCGTACTCTCAGATGATTCTAGAATTTCTCCTATGGAGCAGAAAATTATAGCAAAGCAGGGTCTTCTTAGACCTTTTTAACGACTTTGTCGACCTTTTCTGGTGCTAGAATGTAGTGATATAGTGATGATGTAGTACCTGTATGTTGTAGTGGTGGAAGTGTTTCAGACTGAGTGCAGGTTGTTTTCTCCAGCTGAGAACCACATAACCCCCACTTCCACTCTTCTGACCAGATGAAGAGTCCTGTTTGGTGAAGTTGAAAGTCCCTGACAACCGAAACCAAAATACAGTCAGAAACTCATTATTTCAAACATCCATAAAAACGCCACTGATTGCCAAAGCCCAGTGAGTTTATTCATAGGGGAATCCCTCGTACCAGAAAGACTAAATGACCGAGTTATATTGGCCAATCATTAACTTGGCTATCATACCTGTACGAAATTCGCACCGACGTGCACTACAATTTGCTAAGTGAGCTCGTACTAGTAAGTCACATCCTAGTTAAGCTTAAATTAATTAACCTTCGTATTACCAATCTGGCCGTTCAACTTTAAAAAAAAACAATAAGGTAACTAACATGGCTGAGATGTGGCGACTTCGATGGTCGTCTCCTCGCCCTGTCTTCCTTTATAATTGGCCCTCACTCTCACTCTGTACTTCTCACCAGGATTTAGACTGTCTAGAAGGAGTGATTGGAATATGGCAGAGTAGTTGGCCACACTGACTGCAGAGGTGGAGTTGAGTACCTCGATTGAGTAGGAGGTTGCCTTCTGTTGCGAGGCGGTGACTAGATTCTGAGGAGGTCTCCAGTATAAGAACACTACACTTCCCGACTTCTGCCAGCTGAGCTGTCTGAAATCAAAACGAACTGATTGAAAAAATATAGATATAAGTCAACTAGAGTGAACAATTTTAGGTAGTTGAACAGTGATGAATCTACAGCTAATCTGTTTTTTTTCCAAAAAAAAATTATTTTTGCATTACTCTCAGTTGATTATTCTGAAGAGAAATTTATGAAACTTAAAGTTCATGTGTTTGTAGAGCAAATGTTTCGATATGGAATCATTCCTCACCTGACAGGTTTCGGAAGTTCCTCGCAGGACTCGATCTCCCCAGGAGCCAGCGCAGCGGAGGAGGGGTAGTTGGGGAAAAAGCCCTCTTTACACTCACAGCCCCTCCTGTTAGTCCAGGGCTTACTGTTGGGGGGACAGAAGGCACACGAGTCACGAGCAACTGATGACTTGAACGAGTTGGGGCCACACGCTGAAAAATTCATTGAGTACTAAAACATGTGTTCAAAACAGTGATTATATATCAATAAAGTATAATTCTGCATGGTTCAAACTCAGCTGTTATTCAATAAAAACAACTGAATTTTGTGAGAAAGTAAAAAAGATGAAGATGAGTGCAAAAAAGACTCACGTCTGCAGGTGACAATCCCTTCTGAGTCCTCTGAAACTTCGTAGCCTGCAATGCATACACAGGATGGTACACGACTACTTTCGGGTAATTTGACCTCACTTGACCCTTGCTCTACCGGGTAGAATTCAAACTCCATCAGGGAGAACTTGCGGATACACTGGTACTGAAGTTTATCAACTGTGGTTGATGACGTCAAGAATCCAAATTTTCCAGACATGTCGCCGCGGATGTATTTCGACTGTGCATTAGCGATGCACTCCTCGGAGCGGAAACCTTCACCAAAGGTTTGACGCAAGAAAGTCAGTCTGTCGCGAAACTGAAAAAAAATATCCATAAAATTTCACTGTATCAGTTACGATGTCAAAATACATATCTCATAAAACAATATAATTCGGATATTAGCAAATTATGCTCGACATTTTAAAAACAATTTATTACTTGTTTTGACAAAAAATTGAAATATAATGATATCGAAAGAAGATTATTGGGCGATTGTAGAAAATGCAACTGACATATTTGGGTTTGCAGGCTGTTGAGAGTGAGAAGGTGGGTTGTTCGATGGTGACACACGAAGATTGCGAGGCGGAATCTAGAAGGGGTCGGGTCACCTCCAAGGACACTTCGAGTACAAAAATGTTCTCGTCACAAGGTAGATTGACCATTAAAAAGTTGTCTCCCTTTTTTGGCGCCGGTTGAGGCTGCGAGGCCCAGTCAAACTCCTGGAAGTCCAAAGAGAGTTGGGATCTACCGGTCGCGGATGACGAGGGGCTTCCAGTCGCCGAGAACAAGGGTGAGGCACAGTTTTGGTTAAAAGTGTGTTCTGGAGGGGGAGAGATTTTGTATCGTATTTTGAGAGGAGGAGCCTGAAGTTTAGACTGCACGTTGAAGCTGAGCCTGAAAATGAAGAAAAAACTATTCACCACTTAGCATCGAGATTGATTCCTTGTATAAGATTTTAGGAAAATTAATTAAATGCCAATTAAAAAGTCAAAACCTCACGATTCCTTTTTAGATTTTGAATTGCGACACATTTAGCCACACAAAGTTTGAATATCCCAACATGTTTTGCATGTTTTCGAACTTGACTTTTAGGGGAATAGTTTGAGCATGTCATTTTGTTCGACAATAAATGTTATTTTTCGTCGTTTAACTCCTTCTGTGCTTTGCAAAATTTGTTCATCGTTAAAGGTGACCGCATTTATATGAGGAATTGGCTATTAAACGGTTTAATTTGAGGGTCGAGATTTGAACTGTGGTTCTTCTAAATTAGCCCTAAGAAGAAGACGGATGAATTGGGTCACAGAAAGAAGGTCAATGCTCATCAGCAGCAGTTAAATTGAAGAAGATTCCAACTAATTGTGATAATTTCTGATGGCTTCAACGTGATTTTGTAGATGTTAGTTCGATTAAACGAACAACGTGAAGTCGATACATTAATGGGGTATGGTATATCTAATAAGGCTAATAAAAGTATCAAAATGGATGTTCTGCAGTCCATTGAGAGAATCATATAGAATTTAAGATCCATTCAGATACTGTTGTTCTATTTGCATTCGACTGCATAATCAATCGGTTGAAGATAGTCGGCATCGCAAAATTAGGCCAAAAAAGAGATAAAATAAGGTAAGCGAATGAGACGCAAAATGGGGCAGTTCAAATCAATCGTCTTCTTAGAGTATTTTGAGTTTAAAGGTGGAAGTTCCTACGATTCTGACGTGTCCAGTGAGTTCATTTTTGAGAAATTTTGAGGGTTCTAATGACATACTGGCATATCTAAAGTAAACCTATACTTCTTTTTTTTAAAAATGCACAATTTAAATGTTTGTTGCATGAATTGATTGAAGACAAATGTTAGTGAACGAAAGACTCAAACAAAAGCAAAATGAAAAGCTAAATCTCTACCAACATATGAAGATCCATCTAGAGGAGCAAAAGGTTGGACTTGTAAATGGAGAGGAGAGGGTTGTTGATTGGAATTGGATTGTAAACTGGGAGCAGGGAAAGGGCAGTCTTTCTTTATAGGCTGATGAGGGGCTTAAAGTTTAAGTGTTTGACTTGACTTACATGATCTGTCCGCTGCTGGCTAGTTCAACGGGAGAAGTGAAAGCAATAGATGCTGAAGAGGTGATGGGTGAAGGACACAGCTGCACTGATGAATCAGAACTAGACAAAGAAGCCTACAGAAACATTACAGAACTGAAACTAGGATCAAATCGGATCTGGGGCCAGAGACTTATCAAGTTACTCCTCATAACAATGTCATTTTGATTCAAGTAAAAACTTTTTTCCGCAACGGAATTCTGAAAAGGCGGAATTCATTAATCAGCAAAGGGATGCGAGACAGATACTTGGACAAGTCAGGCAGTCATTAAGCTCTTGAACTGTAGTAAGAGGTTACTTTGATTTACAGTAACCCGTATTTTGATGAAGAATTCGTAAAAAAGGCCCTTCGCGAACAAGAGTTCAAGAGCTTAATGACTGCCTGACTGGTCCAAGTATCTGTCTCGCATCCCTTTGCTGATTATAGAATTCCCGTTGCGGAAAACAATCTTACACTCTCAATTGTAGATGGGTGCGAAGAAAACGAGTCGGGGAGTGACTCCTCAATAAAAAAAAATAAGAAAATGCCAAATATTGTATGTAAATGTCGTCTATTCACAAAAGCACAAGTATAAATAGATTAGTTCCCGAAAAAGCAAGTATAGAAATATGGTTTCCGTGATTTTTGATAAAAGGCTAAACAACCAATTCAACTGATGAGCATGACTTTTCTTTTGGGTAGTGAAGCGGTCGAACTTCTAAATCCTCTCTTGAAAATCATTAAGATGAGGAGGGGGAGGGGGAGGACTATTTTGGCTTACTTGGTTTGAGTTTTGGGGCTCCCATCGCAGTTCTATCTCGTCTCCTACTCCCTCTGAAACAATAAAACAGCAAAAAATTAGAAATAGTAGACTACTTAAGCCGATTGATTATCTTAACACCAGGTGCGCTACAATTGTACAACACATTATTTGACTTTTCTTGTGAAATCGACATTTGAATGCCATTCACTATAACTGATATTATTTCATATCTGTTTTTTGGATAAAAAACTAAAAACTTTACCTAATTAAAGTTATGAAATTCTCTATTCCTGCAGAAAAATATAAATTTTTCGATGCTTCGACCAAATGTCGTAAATAAAACATGAGAACAAACATACCGGCAAATGAAAGGTCTGCTAAAGCGAAAACAGCTAAAGCGAAGATTGCGAAAACTAAGAACATCCAGTCGAAATAACAACCAACTAACAACATATCAATCAAGAATATTTAATAAAGGCGTACTATAAATTACAAATCCGTATTTGAGACAAGACAGAAAGAGAAAAAATGCTAACATACAGCAAGTCTTCCAATTTTGTTCAGCAAAAAATTTCAATTTTCTAACTGCATGAATAAGAAATTTGATCAGCTCAATATTCACAAAAATAGTTATCGCGCACAAGTAATTTTGAACACAAAGTATATGGAAAAGAAAAGAAACGAAGTTTTACAGTTTTTTAATTAATTGTTTGAATAAGTTTGATGAATATTGTTTAGTTTTTTGATTCAGAGAGTCCGTCACTTTGACCCAAAGAAAAAATACAGTAATGAAGATGGAGATTGAAGAAGAATTCAAAAAACAACTACATATCAGCAAATTCAAAAGGAGAAAACAAGTCGATTGGATTTCTTGAATCAATTTCAACCAATCAGAATGCAGCAAAACAAGCCAGAACATTATTTTAAGTTAAATTAAATATCCAAGTCTGTTTTAAAATGCAGCAGCAGCTACTTCTAAATTAGCTTAATGAAGTTTGGATTAACCGTGCAATCCCCCCCCCCCCCCTCAAATTGGTTTAGGGGTGAAAAAATGTGGATTTTTCAGGAAATAACTTTGAGTATACCTTAGATTTATAGAAAAATAACAATTTATTCAGAGAAAATTGATTAAAAATACGTTAGTTGAGGTTATTCAAATGCAATCCCACATAAAAATTGTGACAACCATTTTTGTGTGCGAGTTTGTTCGAAATGCATACATTATACAGAATTAATTTTCAAATTTAAAACGTAGCTAGGGGGAAATTCTATGGCTGGTCACTTATGGGAGGGGGATGCGATATGAGATAATTTGGAGGGACTCTTGGACAATTTTGGACTTTCAAAATTTTGAACATTCTAAAATTTTCACTTCTTTCACAGAAGAATTGTTGGTTCACGGGTCTTGTTAATTATACCATGCTACCCTTTTGCAAAAGGGGGTCCAATTCGTTACAAAAGGTACAAAACTCGTATATGCTTAACTGTTCAATGCTTCCTTCATTTTGGTACAAGTGGTGCTGATTTTTCATTTTGGTCTCAATATTTTGAATGAGTACTTAACAGGAAATGGTAGAACGTTTGGGCATTGTTGATCAAAACCAATAAGTTAACCAGGATCTTGTTAACTATATGCTCTCTCTGAAGAATCAACCGTACTATCACTACTATTCCTGTCACTTCTTTCGTCTAAAGTTGTGCACAGGCGCGGATCTAAAAATTAAAATCGTTCAATAGTACCAAAGGGGTACCCTTTGAGTGGTGAGTAGTTCAATTGCGAGAAAGGGATAACTCCGCTACTGCTTATGCGCCAGATCCTCCGAATAAACGTGGAACGCGAAACTGTTGGCCTGGACATGGTGAGTTAAGACCGATGGGTATAACTCATAGAGTAATTTCGGATAGGGTACACCGTCTGCTCGTCACGCTATCTTATTTTCGGCCGGATAGATTCGTGCAACTTCTTAGTCTAATACCGATCCTAATCTTACTCTTATACTATCTAGTCTCAGGTTGTTTAACTAGTCTCTGCTAGGCTCAATAGATCTAGGGTATACTGGTTTATTGCGGCTGCTGAAGTACTCGGGAGAGTTCAACTAATTTCTAAGTTAAATTCAAATCTCTCTGGTGCTGAAATTACAAGTAATTTCAGCACTTACAAATAAGTGGATTGTTAGTTAGATGGATCATGATTGGTTAATATTAAATACTTTACATTGGTAAAATATCTAATTTATCCAATCATAAAATGTAGTTTAGATCAGGTTCCAGCCATCCGGGTTTTACAGAGTTTTTTAGAATAGTTTTTCTGCAATTCGAAAGATGGATGATGGACGTTGGTATTTGGCGAACATCTTATTTCTTCTGGGTTTTCTTATTAGAGAAGTCCCAGATTCAATCATTGTGTCTTCTCAAGACAACGACTGGGTTTTCGCAACAAACTCAAATCTGATTTCAGAATGGTTGGCTATGTCAGGTTTTTCTGTTTCATTGATGAGAACTTCTTTGTGTTTGACCTTGTCTGGGAATGGCGTGGAGATTGTGCGTGGAGGGGATGCCTGGTTACTCGGATCTGTACGTATACTTGAACATCGAGGTGGTCATTGGTCTAGTTCAATGAAGTCCTTTTCTGCGAAGTCAAGTCGTACTCTAAATCCTTTGAGTTGTGATTGTGGGCGGCATATTGATTGTAGTTGGCCATTCTTTCTCGAGTGTAGTAGGGTCGTTTTGTCTTTGGATGTTCGTCCTTGGTGTTGTATTCTGATCTATGTATTGCATAATGTAATTTACATTTTATAAAACTTTTATTAGTTTAATATTTTTTAATTATGATTTTAGTTAGTTGTTTTCACAAAAGCTTTTTGTTTTAGTTCAGTTATTTTGAAGAGTTACTCACCCTTGAGTAGCTCTTATTAAAAATAGGAGTGTGGTCACAAAGCGTGGATGTAGCACGGTGGGTTAGGCCGGCTATAGAGCATGCTCAGGACGTCCTTCCTGGTGGGTTAGGCCAGGAGTGGGAGTATGATTGCATGCGGTTTTTGTGAGAGGTCCTGTTATGTGACAACGTTTTATGTTGGGTTTGTTGTGGTTTTTCTTATGTTTTGTTGGTTGTGTCCTTTTTTCAAAAATCAAATTGTTTGTGGTATGGGTTTGTCTTTCGACTTTTTTGTGTTTTATTATTTCTTTCTTAGACTTTATAATAGTCTTCAAAAGAATAAATTATCCAGTTTTAAACTGGGTTAATCCGGTTTGGGTACCGTTGGTTTCCTTTTCTTAGTCATGCTGTTATGCTATGTGTTGTGGTGTTTAGTAAGCTGCATTGGTTAGTTTTGTTTAGTATATAATTCCTTTCCAACCGGGTTAAAGGAAAGTTTGAAACGTGTTATCTTGTGTTAGAGTTATCGAGTGTGAAAGCTTGGAACTGAAATTCATTATTTTAAACAATTCTTCGTGGGCGAGCTGTGCGAGTTTGGATAGAATTTTTATGCGAGTGAATGAAAATATCAAAAGGTTAGTACTGCATTTGCTTCTTATGAATTTACTACATAGAATTTTAATTTTACTGCTAGTTGTTGGGGGAAATTAAGTTACAAATTTTCATCATTATTAGATTTACTATTGGTGGGGGAAAAATTTATAAATTAATTTACTGCATTGGTATTATATTTATTTAATTGTTGGTGCAAAAATTTAATAGGGTCTTAAACAGTTTTGAAGAAGTTTGCTATTTTTTATTTTTCTTTTGTGAATTTTTCAGATGATCTAGGATGAAGGCTAAAATTCTAAAGAAAACATGGATAAAGAATGGTGAGTTTCTAATATTTGAATTAATTAGTAATATGTATAATTCATACTTACCTGTTAGTAGTCGGGGAAGAAACCGTGGGGGAAAATGTCGTGGATGAGATCTGAAGTTGTTAGTAGTTTGGCTAAGATGCGGATGATATTTTTAGTTTGAAGCAGTGGCCAAAGCAATTGAAGTGCCTTAATGGTGGTTAGTTCTTCAGTGCCAACTGCAAATTCATAAGGTGTGTTTTGGATTAGATTATATAATTTGTGGTTGAATTTAGTGTTATGGATGAATTCTAATATGGGGATTTCTATAGGTTGTACAAACTCGTGTGGGATGAGGAAGGGTCGGGATTCTTCTGCGTTGAAGGTCTTGGTGATGGGACAAAAGATATACATTTGGGTTATGGGATCATAATTTCGAAGAATACCATGAAGGTTAGTATCTTTAATGCAATATGTGAAGTTAAGAAAGAATGGTGAGGTGTATTTGGAATTGATGAATTGAAAACGATGGTGTGGTTGTCTGGAGGGAGTGTGTAGGTCAAAGTGATTTTGGATGAAACGATAATAAGTATATGTGTGTGTTTGTTTAGTGCGCAACATAATATCGTGTGAGCAGTGCAAATCTCTTTCATGTGGTGCAAGGAAACGAAAGGTTAGTGAAAATATTTGGAAGCGTTCTTTAAAACTTTCGTAGGCTTGCGTGTCTGTTAGTGCTTCTGAGATAATGTGGTCAAACTTGCGATCGAAGATATTTAGTGTAAATACATATGGTGTTTTAATGAAAAATTTCTCGGTGATTTGTGGGTTAGCGAAGCGATCGTCGTCTAAGAATTGATCTTGGTTAGTTCTGATGATGTTATGATCGTAATATTCTAGTGTATATTCATTAGCTCGGGGTGCAGTGTGTGTTTTTAGTGATTTTTTGTATCCAATGTAAGTAAATTGTCTAGGTGTTACTGGTGTAGTGAGTCGATATAGCATGTCCTTATTTCGTTCTATATCGATATGAGTGTTAGATAAAGGTAAGCAAAGGGGATTTGTAAAATGATAATATGAGGTCCAAGGAAAGGTAGGCATTAAAACGTATTCGTCTACAAAGTTACGTGTCTCGTTAGTGTCATGAGGGGTGTTTAAGGTGTATTGTGGAAACGAGGGTAAGGTGATAGCTAAAAATTCTTTTGTGTTAGTGTGTTGTGGATGGTTGATATATTCACGGGCTGTTCCTGGTTTCGCTGGGAAAGGATGGTTGGGGAACTTCCTTTTAAAAGTGCGGTAAGCTCTATTAGTGCTGAGTGAAGATACAGTAGTTGTGGATGATGGTGCTAATGAATCAGTATAAATTGAAGAGGGTGTAGGGGTAGGAGGGTTGGATGAATCTATTGTGGATGAGATTTGGTTTATGGTTGGGGTGTCAAGGTGATAGGATTGTTGTTGTAGGGTAATGAAATTATCTAGTTCTGGGGAGATTCGGGGGGTGTCTGAAGAATGAGATGATTGGTTTGAGTGAAGTGAGGAGTAGGTTGGAGTGACTTGGGAAGCATAAGAGGGTGTAGAATTGGTTGGGTCAGGGTTATTTGGTAGTATGGGTTGAAAAGGGGGTTGGGAAAAATTTAAGGGATTGGTGTGAAAATTATTTGATGGAGATGGTTCAGAGTCGGCAAATTCATCGGGGGTTTCAATATTCGGGTTATTGAGTTGTGAGATGGAGTATAAAACTGATATGTGTGAATTAGTATCGGAATTCATGCCGGATGTTACATTACTGGATGGGAAATCGGGTGGCGGAAAAGCAAAAAGTGGTATTATTGGGATTCGAGTGGTGAGGTTGGTTGGGTGGGAATTTGATCGGTGTAGAGATCCAAGTTGTCGGCTCATCGTGGGCTAAAAAAATTATTATTTTGAGACTGAAAAGCGGTGGTATGGGGTTGTTCTATAAATTGTTCATAAGTATTTTCATCTTGTGAGTGGTGTGGCATTATATGTTGGATGGGACTTTGTGATATGGTTGGTCTAAAATTATTATGTGTTATGGCTAAATTTCGAAAA